CCCACCCTGTGCTCCTCGTGAGGGTGGAGCGCATCCACATTAGCAGCTCTTGCAACAGCAAAGAGAGCAGTGCATTGTGGTAGCTATCCCACCAAGCACCTGGCCGCAGGGTGATTTGGGAAGGGTTTGCAATGCCTCATGGGGCAGGCACAGTGACTAAGGTGTAATGGGAGGGACAATTAAACTCCCCCAATGTGTGGAGAAGGCTGGGTAATTAAACAATAAAATTCAGGAGCAACAGCCTCCAATTATTCTGGAAAAGGAGAATGTAAGAAAGAAGAACTGGGCCACGCAACCTTGGGAGGAACAGGTTCAAAGATCTAAGGAGCCTGGAGGGAAGACAGCTTGCAGCTGCTGTAGATGGGGGAAAGATGGGTGGGTGGGGGAGAACACACTCTCCAAACGCTCACTCCTGTTGACTCTGATGTGATTTTATGATCTATGACCTAGTCTCATGTCTTGTGGGCAATTTTATACATGCTAGAGGTAAAATGTCATTATCAGAGTATTGCTTATTACCTCGGAACATGCATGGAGGGGCAAGGAGCTGGACGAGCGCAAGTCCATGGGACCGGATGCACGGCATCCGACGGTGCTAAAGGAGTTGGCGGATGTGATTGCAGAGCCATTGGCCATGGTCTTTGAAACCTAATGGCGATCAGGGGAGGTTCTGGACGACTGGAAAAAGGATAATGTAGTGCCCATCTTTAAAAAAGGGAAGGAGGAGGATCCGGGGAACTACAGGCCAGTCAGCCTCACCTCAGTCCCTGGAAAAATCATGGAGCAGGTCCTCAAAGAATCAATTTTGAAGCACTTTGAGGAGAGGAAAGTGATCAGGAACAGTCAACATGGATTCACCAAGGGCAAGTCATGCCTGACTAATCTAATTGCCTTTATGACGAGATAACTGGCTCTGTGGATGAGGGGAAAAGCAGTGGACGTGTTATTCCTTGCCTTTAGCAAAGCTTTCGATACAGCTCCCAAAGTATTCTTGCCAGCAAGTTAAAGTAGTATGGGGTGGATGAATGGACTATAAGATGGATAAAAATCTGGCTAGATTGTTGGGCTCAACGGGTAGTGATCAATGGCTCCATGTCTAGTTGGCAGCCGGTATCAAGCGGAGTGCCCCAAGGGTCGGTCCTCGGGCCAGTTTTGTTCAATATCTTCATAAATGATCTGGAAGATGGCGTGGATTGCACCCTCAGCAAGTTTGCAGATGACAGTAAACTGGGAGGAGTGGTAGATACGCTGGAAGGCAGGGATAGGATGCAGAGAGACCCAGACAAATTAGAGGATTGGGCCAAAAGAAATCTGATGAGGTTCAACAAGGACAAGTGCAGAGTCCTGCACTTAGGACGGAAGAATCCCATGCACTGCTACAGACTAGGGACCGAATGGCTAGGCAGCAGTTCTGCGGAAAAGGACCTAGGGGTTACAGTGAACAAGAAGCTGGATGAGTCAACAGTGTGCCCTTGTTGCCAAGAAGGCTAACGGCATTTTGGGCTGTATAAGTAGGAGCATTGCCAGCAGATCAAGGGATGAGATCTTCCCCTCTATTCGGCATTGGTGAGGCCTTATTTGGAGTACTGTGTCCAGTTTTGGGCCCCACACTACAAGAAGGATGTGGAAAAATTGGAAAGAGTCCAGCGGAGGGCAACAAAAATTATTAGGGGGCTGGAGCACATGATTTATGAGGAGAGGCTGAGGGAACTGGGAAGCATACATGGACTCGTTATGTTTTTGGGAGCAGGAAGAACTGGGATTGTTTAGTCTGCAGAAGAGAAGAATGAGGGGGGATTTGATAGCTGTTTTCAACAACCTGAAAGGGGGTTCCAAAGACGATGGATCTAGACTGTTCTCAGTTGTAACAGATGACAGAACAAGGAGCAGTGGTCTCAAGTTGCAGTGGGGGAGGTCTAGGTTGGATATTAGGAAAAATGTTTTCACTGGGAGGGTGGTGAAGCACTGGAATGGGTTACCTAGGAGGTGGCAGAATCTCCTTGCTTAGATGTTTTTAAGGAAAAAATGTATAATGAAGAGAAACTGAACAGAAATAAAACTGGAGTGTAGGGTCTAAAGCAACAAGGCTTGGGTAAGGATTTGGGGTTAAAGGTCTGGGATCCCCCACAGCTCTAGATCCCAAACTCTCCTCCCTCCCACTGATGCACCCAGGCCACCTCCCGGGTGCTCTTTCTCCACACTCCCCTCCCCTTCTTCCCATTATGCTCAGCCGGCACCACCTCCCAGCACCTTGGGAGCTTCTTGTGTTCCCCCCCTATTAGCCAGGATGGGCAGGAATGGTGTCCCTAGCCTCTGTTTGCCAGAAACTGGGATTGGGTGACAGGATCACTTGATGATAACCTGTCTGTTCATTCCCTTTGGGGCACCTGCCATTGGCTACTGTCAGAAGACAGGATACTGGGCTTCATGGACCTCTGGGCTGACCCAGTATGGCTCTTCTTATGTTCTCCCCATCTCTCACTACCTCATCCCTCCCTGCTGCTTCTTAGCTCTAATCCTGCACACACCCTCCCCAAGTCCTGGCACCCAAAAATGATCTACTCCCCCTCTTCTCCTCCCCTCACCCATGGGGTCCCGAATGGCAGCATTATACATTCTTCTATCAAAAGAGGAGCTCATCTGACTGTCACACAAGCTATGCATGAGTCTGTGATGTTATTGACAGAATCAGTAACTGTACAGATCACTATTGCAACCACTGTTATATATTTGCAGAAAATATGGTACAAAGGTTGTGGTGTGAGGTGTCTGTGGGAAGATTATGATTTGCTGGTTATGTTTATACTGTCTATATATGTGAATCAAATTGTAGTTGAAGTTATGAATATTGGCTCTATACTGTCTGTATTTCAACTTATGCTATGCTTCTGGGTGACACCCCAGACAAGTTGGGGTCAGCTCTGCCCAGCCTGCTGGGTGGCCCATTAAGGACCACCAGCTTTACAACTAACCCATTGAGAGAAGGCAGATACACCTTGTGAAGCAGCAAGGTATGCAGGGACAGGTGTATGAACAGAACTCTTGAGGTTTTTCCAGGCCATGTGATGGACAGCTTGTCTTGGGACAAAGAAAGAATGACCACATGGCAAGAGACTATAAAAAGCTGCTGCAGCTCCTCCATCTTGTCTTCAATCCTGCTTCTTACCTCTGGAGGGACTTTGCTACAAATGGAAGCTCTACACAAAGGACTGATGATCCATCCCAGCTGTGGATGTCCTCCGAGACTTGATTTGAACCTGCAGTTTATTCCATCACTGCTACAAGCCTGAACTAAGAACTTTGCTATTATGTATGTAATTAATTTCATTTAACCAATTCTTGCTCTCATCTATATCTTTTTCCTTTTATAAATAAATCTTTAGATTTTAGATTCTAAAGGATTGGCAACAGCATGATTTGTGAGTAAGATCTGATTTGTATATAGACCTGGGTCTGAGGCTTGGCCCTTTGAGATCTAGAGAACCTTTTTTCTTTTACTGGGGTATTGGTTTTCATAACCATTTATCCCCACAATGAGTGGCTCTGGTGGTGATACTGTCACAACCTCAGGGATTCCCCTGGGGAAGGCAGATCAGTACTGCATGTTGCTAACACTGTTGCAAGCATCGCAAAGCATTTTGGGGAGGGTCAAAGGTGTGAGTGGGGAGTGGAAGATTCTTTTGCAGGCTGCAAGAGGCCAAAGGGGGAAGGAGAAAGAGAGAAGAGAACGGGTTAACTCAACACTGCAGCTAGCAAGCTCAGTCCAATGATATGACGCTGGCCCCAGCCCAACGACGCTGCTCACAGCCAAGACTTGGCTGACAGCCAAGAAAGACAGGGGCGTGAATGTGCCCGAGCAGCCATGAGAAAGAAAACCCCAACTGCACAGACCTACAAGGCAGCGAGGCCAGGAAAGAAGAAAACAAGGTCTAAGACTGAAGAGATTGAAAACACCGGCGAGAGAGCAAGAGAGGGCATTGAGCCTTGCATCCCTGGAGCGAGGGTGTTTTGAGAAAGCTGAAGACACCATGGAAAGCTGGTTTGGACTGGCACAGAGGGCACCAGGAGCAGAGGTCCCTGAACGAAGCACCCCGCACAAGGAGCCCAGGACTTAAAACCCTCTTAAGAGCTGGAGCAACTTGGAGATCACAGCGAATCCTCTGATGACCTGGCCCCAGGACAGCACTCCCGTCCACCCTTCCCCCACTCTTCTTCTTACGTTAAACCCAGGCTTGGCCAGCTTTGGGTCGGGCGTATGTGAGTATGAAAGTGGGTTAGGGCTTGGGGCACTAACTCTTCCTTCCTTCGAGTAACATAGAAGCATTTCCAGCACTCTCCGCTGTTATTTTATTATTTTATCAATAAAGTTTAAAAATTTAGACACCTGATGTGTTCCGTCATCTCCTCCCTTAACAATTCTGTGGCCTCAGCCTGATCACCTGACGGCACAGACAGACTGCTGACAGAAATCTGTCACAATACTGGGAAACTGGAGTGTCTAAGGGAATTGCTTGTGTGACTTGTTGTTAGCCAGTGGGGTAAAACCAAAGTCCTTTCTGTCTGGCTAGTTTGGTTTGGTTTGCCTTAGAGGTGGGAAAACCCCAGCCTTGGGCTGTAACTGCCCTGCTTTAAGCAATTTGTCCTGAATTGGCACTCTCAGTTGGGTCCCACCAGAACCAGCATCGTAACAGAGTCATACACCTATTTACTTAACTTAGAATTCTACAGGCAACATATTTTCTTCTTAAAATGAGGAAGGCATGAAAGCTATAGTTATTAATGTATCCAATAAGGATACATTAAATGCAATTTTAAAATGACTGATGGCACCAAAAAGGCACATGTCCAAAAATTATACTAGTGAGTGGGGGATAAGGCAAAAAAAGGGGGCAAGGAAACTTGTCAAAACTTGTAGGATGAATAAAGGTATAAAGTTACTACTACTCAGGTTCTTTAGAGACCCCACAGCTTCGAATAACCGAGGGGACAGGACTCCTTACCCAGCAAGACCACTGACTCATAGTTCTCCTGCATGACATCCCTGTAGAGGGATCTCTGAGTGGGGTCCAGCAGAGCCCCCTCTTCCCTGGTGAAATCCACAGCCACCTCCTCGAAAGTCACCGGCCCCTGAAAGAGCAAGAGTCCAACACTCAGTACCTGCTACCCCAGTGACAGCCCCACTATTCATGGAACAGCAGGACCAGGTAAATGGAAGGTCTGGGAGGCACATGTTAACAGTCCCACCCCACCTTGCTTACAGCAACCAGGAGGCATCAGAGGGTAGAAAGAAAGAACCTTTGTGTCTGCCAGCTGACAGACAGAGGCAGGGTCTTCACATTTATCACATACCTACTAGCCAGAGCTTGATATAGGAGATGGGACTATCTATGGACACTGCTGGTGGCTCCCTGTTAGGAATCCCAACACTCTCCAAATAAAATATATGGAAGAAAGGGGATGTCAATAGTAAAGAAAAGTGGTGGGATCTGAGTTACTACACAGAATTCTTTCCTGGGTATCTGGATGGTGAATCTTGCCCACATGCTCAGGGTTCAGCTGATCGCCATATTTGGGGTTGGGAAGGAATTTTCCTACAGGGCAGATTGGAAGAGTCCCTGTGGGTTTTTCGCCTTCCTCTGTAGCATGGGGCACGGGTCACTTGCTGGAAGATTCTCTGCACCTCGAAGTCTTTAAACCATAATTTGAGGACTTCAGTAGCTCAGACATAGGTGAGAGGTTTATTGCAGGAGTTAGTGGGTGAGATTCGGTGGCCTGCGTTGTGCAGGAGGTCAGACTAGATGATCATAATGGTCCCTTCTGACCTTAATATCTATGAATCTATAAAAGTTAGGTCAGAATTGTAGAAAATTGATAAGGGAAGCTATCAGCAAATCAATGACCAACCAATAAAATAAGAAGGAAGCTTTTAAAGTACAAAATTAATCCTAACAATGGTAGTGGTAAATCACTAGATGGAAATGGCAGAATTATCAAAAATAACGCAGAAGAGGTAAAAGTGTTCAATAAATATTTCTCTCCTGGATTTGGAGAAAAGCAGATGATGTACTCATATCATAAGATGTTGACGACGACATTCTTTCCATTTCAACAATAACTCATGAGGACGTTAAACAGTAGCTATTAAAGTTAGACATGTTTAAATCAGCGGGTCCAGATAACTTGTATCCAAAAGTTTTAAAAGACCTGGTGGAGGAGCATGGTGGATTGTTAATGTTGATTTTAAATTAGGACTTGGAACACTGGGGAAATTCTAGAAGACTGGGAATAAAGCTAATGCTGTGCCAATATTTAAAAAGTGTAAAAGAGATGACCCAGCTAATTATAAGAGTGTTAGTCTGACATCGATACTGGGCAAGTCTGATCAGCCGATACTGGATTTCATTAATAAAGAATTAAAGGAGGGTAATATAATTAGTACCCATTAATAAAGGTATCATTATTGGATAAGATAAAAAGTTTCGTTGCAGCTAATAGTATTGATGTAATATACTTCTGTAAGGTATATGACTTCGTTCAGCACAATATTTTGACTAAAAAACTAGAATGATACATAATAAAAACGGCATACATTAAATAGATTAAAAACTGTGATTGTAAAGAGGGAATCATGGTCGAATGGATTTATTTCTAGCGGGTTCCCGCAAGGATTGGTTCTTGGCCCTCTGCTATTTAACATTCTTATCAATGACCTAGAAGAGAATACAGTAACTCCTCACTTAACGTCCTCCCACTTAACATTGTTTCAAAGTTACGTCGCTGCTCAATTAGGGAACATGCTCGTTTAAAGTTGTGCAATGCTCCCTTATACCATCGTTTGGCTGCCTGCTCTGTGCACTGCATGTAAGCTTTCAAGGAAGAGCAGCGACTTTACAGGAGAGCAATGCATAAGTTCCTCTTCTCCGCCTCCTCCCCATCCTTCCCAGCGCTTCCCCCACCACCAAACAGCTGTTTGGTGGTGCTTAGGACTTTCTGAGAGGGACAGGGAGGAGCGGGGAAGCGCTGTGTCTCCACTCCTCCCTCTCCTTCCCAGAAAGTCCTAAGCGCTGCCAAACAGCTGTACATAATGCCTTTTGTCTGCCCCAAAAAAATTTCCTTGGAACCTAACTCCCGGCATTTACATTAAATCTTATGGAAAATTGGATTAGTTTAACACCATTTCACTTAAAGTTGCATTTTTCAGAAACATAACTACAACGTTAAGTGAGGATTTACTGTATAAAACCATCACTGATAAAGGTTGCAGTTGCCACACAGACTGGGGGTGGTGGTAACTAATGAAGTGTCAGTAGATTCAGGTTCCAGCACTGGGAATCTGGGAAGTTTTTTCAGCCCTGGCTGGAGGGTTATTTCCTGTTCCACAAAGAGGGGAAGTTCCATTCCCAACTCCTGTGCCTTGAAATTACGCCCTATCTGACACTACACCCCATATTCAGCATAGTGGTAGGATTATAGTATGATTCGGACATAATTATGATGCATTTTGTGCAAGATGCGTCATGTGCAGTGTTATTGGAAAAGTTACGATTTGCTGAATAGGATTATCCTATTTGTGTGCCTGTATCATCTTTGTATCTGAAGTTATGGATATTGACTCTGTATCTGTATTTCAAATGTGCTTACTCTGGGTAACACCCACAACTAGCCTTTAAGGTACAACAATGAAGAAGCAAGACAGTGGTGATGGCTCATCAACAAAGACAATGGACCAGGGAAGACCTTAGCCTTCCTGTGAATGTTTCAGCCAGCCTATGAATCATGGCTACCATGACTCAGCAGGGCATGCTAGGTCATGTGACCAGATCACATGACACTGAACTCCATTTTGGTATCTGTATTTTTCCACAAAGTGGACTAGGAATTGAGTTTGGAACAAAGGGTTCCTGACATATGGAAAAGCCACAAGGTGGGGTGTGACATCATCTCTTGGCCTCATTCCCCACACAAGAGAACTGGAAACATCTGAGGAACAAAGACTGAACTGGGGGAAGTGCTGGTCCCAGGGTAAAGGGATTTCTAGCTTGTGTATTGAAACTTGATGGACTGCTTGTATCATCAGTCAGGGTGAGAAATTGCTAATCCAAATTCTATCCATCTAGTATGTTGGGCTTAGTTTGAATTTTTGGTTATTTGTTAAGTAATCTGCTTTGATCTGTTTGTTATCACTTAAAATCTATCTTTCTGTAGTTAATAAACTTGTTTTATGCTTTATCTTAATCTGTGTATTTTGAGTGAAGTGTCTGGGGAAAATCTCAGCTTGGTTAGCACAAGCTTGTTCTACATATCTTTCCCATATCCAGGGGAAGGCGAACTATATTAATGAGCTTACATTATACAGATCCCTGTGCACTATAAGATGGTATAATTCTGGATTTATACTACAGCAGGTGTGCAAAGTTGGGGAGCTGGGAAATTGGCTGTTGTCTTCTATCTGTCCTTGAGTGGCTTAGGTAACGCACTCAGGTAGCTTAGTTGGGTGTATGGCGCCAGCTGCTGTTGTGTTGGGTGATAACAGGGCCTAGAGAGGCTGGCTGCATCTCCAGCAAAGCAGTGTGAGAAGGGCCAGCCCAGCTTGAGGGTTAGAGGGCACAGCGGTTCCCAGAAGCCCCCAAGACTGCACCCTGGGGGTGACAACCCATCGCAACCTAGATTACACAAGTCTCAGCAGGTTTGTCACATCCTGTCCCCTCCCTTTCTCCACCCTAGATATTTCCTGCCTCCCACCACCTCTAGCAGCTCCCAACTTCCTATGCATTTACTGCTCCTCTCCCTCCAAGCAGAACCCACCACCAGCTCCCTGATAATCCGTTACCTGAGCCAGCTCCATTGCAGCCATTTCCTTCTCCCTGGGAGGATGGGATGATCTGGAGTGAAACGTAGATGTTATTCTGTAGCCTGCGAGGGTAAGAAGATCTATGTGAAAGAATTCAGATGGAGCTTTTGTCCATTCCACAAGCCGATTCCCCTTGGATTTTTCCCTGCTAATGGACATTCTAGTTTCTACCGCACTGTGAAGCACAGAGTGACCTTATTCCAGTTCAGGCCTAGCTCCCTCCCACCAGGGTGTAACCCTGAGACATGGTGAAACCCTCCCAGTAACAGAGTGTGTTACACTTATAAAGTTTGCGGACGATACCAAGCTCGGAGTGGTTTCAAGTGCTTTGGAGGATAGGATTAAAATTCAAAATGATCTGAACAAACTGGAGAAACGGTCTGAAGTAAATAGGATGAAATTCAATAAGGACAAATACAAAGTACTCCACTTAGGAAGGAACAATCAGTTGCACACATACAAAATGGGAAATAACTGCCTTGGAAGGAGTACTGCGGAAAGGGATCTGGTGGTCATAGTGGACCACAAGCTAAATATGAGTCAACAGTTTTACAAAAAAATCAAACATCATTCTGGGATGTATTAGTAGGAGTGTTGTAAGCAAGACATGAGAAGTAATTCTTCTTCTCTACTCCACACTGAGTAGGCCTCAACTGGAATATTGTGTCCAGTTCTGGGCGCCACATTTCAGGAAAGACGTGGACAAATTGGAGAAAGTCCAGAAAAGAGCAACAAAAAATGATTAAAGGTCTAGAAAACATGATCGAAGAGGGAAGATTGAAAAAAATTGGGTTTGTTCAGTCTGGGGAAAAGAAGACAGAGAGGACATGATCACAGTTTTCAAGTACATAAAAGGTTGTTACAAGGAGGAGGGAGAAAAATTGTTCTTATTAACCTCTGAGGATAGGACAAGAAGCAATGGCCTTAAATTGCAGCAAGGGTGGCTTAAGTTGGACAATAGGAAAAACTTCCTGTCAGAGTGGTTAAGCACTGGAATAAATTGCCTAGGGAGGTTGTGGAATCACCATCATTGGGGATTTTTAAGAGCACGCTGGTCAAACACCTGTCAGTGATGGTCTAGATCAGTGCTTCTCAAGCTATGCGATGTGGGGGACCGGCAATTTTTTTTCCCCCAATTGCACGCAGATTGGCACCGGTCTGCGGACCACCACTTTGGGTAGCACTGGTCTAGATAATACTTAGTCTGCCTTGAGTGCAGGTGACTGGACTAGATGACCTGTCAAGGTCCCTTCCAGTTCTATGATTCTATGAACCAAAGGAGTCACTTTGGGGGATTCTCCCTCTCATTGTAAACCTGAGACAGCTGCCTTGGGGACAAAGTTGTTTGATGCTCCAGCCTTTGTACAGTCTCTTCTGGGAGTGCCCCCTTTCATGGGATGAGGCCTTGTTTTAGCTTTTGGCAAGTGTGACCCCAGGGGCTCTGAGACTGGGACTTCTTCATAGAATCATAGAATATCAGGGTTGGAAGGGACCTCAGGAGATCATCTAGTCCAACCCCCTGCTCAAAGCAGGGCCAATCCCCAACTAAATTCTCTCAGCCAGGGCTTTGTCAAGCCTGACATTAAAAACCTCAAATGAAAGAGATTCCATCACCTCCCTAGGTAACCCATTCCAGTGTTTCACCACCCTCCTAGTGAAAAAGTTTTTCCTAATCTCCAACCTAAACCTTCCCTACTGCAACTTGAGACCATTACTCCTTGTTCTGTCATCTGCTACCACTGAGAACAGTCTAGATCCATCCTCTTTGGAACCCCCTTTCAGGTAGTTGAAAGCAGCTATCAAACCCCACCTCATTCTTCTCTTCTGCAGACTAAACAATCCCAGTTCCCTCAGCCTCTCCTCAGAAGTCATGTTTCCAGTCCCCTAATCATTTTTGTTGCCCTCCACTGGACGCTTTCCAATTTTTCACATCCTTCTTGTAGTGTGGGGCCCAAAACTGGACACAGTACTCCAGATGAGCCCTCACCAAAGTCGAATAGAGGGGACAATCACATCCCTCGATCTTCTTGCCTCAGCACACCTTGTTTCTTTCTGTGACTCCCCAGTGAGTCCAAATGAGTAGATACTCCTGATAGAGACTGAACACAAGAACATCCCACTGCATCAGACCAATGGTCCACCTAGCTCAGTGGCCAATGCCAGGCCCCCCAGAGGGAATGAACAGAACAAGTAATCATCAAGTGATCCATCCCCTGACACCCGTACCAGCTTCTGGCAAACAGAGGCTAGAGACACCATCCCTGCCCATCCTGCCTGTGACACTGGCAGATAAAGTGTTAGCTCTTGCAAAAGCCCCCATGTCTTAACTGAACGCAGAGCTGGAATCAGTCTGGCTCACCTGTGTTAGTATTGTTAAAACAGGCATTAGGGTTATAAGAATGTGTTTAGACTTTATGGAATACTTGTGAGTTGCTGCCTCGGTTAATATCTGACTAGTTGCATTGTGAGCCTCTGTGGCTCTGTCAATCACCAGACAGGAGAGAGACTCTACCTACGTGAAGTGCTGGTTGGCAACAAAATGCATTACACCCTGCCTGGGAGGAAAGGTCCATCAACAGCAGACAGAGCATTATGGGATGTTAAAGACGGCAAAAGACTGTTGTTGTGCTCTTGACTTCCCCTTAGCTGAGTTTGCAGCTCAGAGCACATGGCAGGAAAGGGATAAAAAAAACTCATGTAGAAGGAACTGATTATCTGTATGCTGCTTGGACTCCCGGGGGCAAAGTTTCAAGGCATAAGCAAGAGATCCCCAGCTGCTTAGCCTGGGTTAGTTCTAAAGAATATATAGAACTTGCTTATTATAGAAGCTTCTATTACCTTTCGAAATTTAAGACTGTAACTCTTCTGCATCTATATGATTACCTGCTTTAACAATGTAAACAACTCTCATTTCCTTTTAAACAAATCTTAGGGTATGTCTACACTATGAAATCAGGTTGAATTTATAGAAGTCGTTATTTTAGAAATCGGTTTTATATATTCGAGTGTGTGTGTCCCCACAGAAAATGCTCTAAGTGCATTAAGTGCATTAACTCAGCGGAGTGCTTCCACAGTACCGAGGCTAGCGTCGACTTCCGGAGTGTTGCACTGTGGGTAGCTATCCCACAGTTCCCGCAGTCTCCGCTGCCCATTGGAATTCTGGGTTGAGATCCCAATGCCTGATGGGGCTAAGACATTGTCACGTGTGGTTCTGGGTACATATTGTCAGGCCCCCATTCCCTCCCTCCCTCCGTGAAAGCAAGGGAAGACAATCGTTTCGCGCCTTTTTTCCTGAGTTACTTGTGCAGATGCCATACCACGGCAAGCATGGAGCCCGCTCAGCTCACTGTCACCGTATGTCTCCTGGGTGCTGGCAGACGTGGTACTGCATTGCTACACAGCAGCATCAACCCCTTGCCTTGTGGCAGCAGACGGTACAGTACGACTGGTAGCCGTCCTCGTCATGTCCGAGGTGCTCCTGGCCACGTCGGCCAGGAGCGCCTGGGCAGATATGGGCGCAGGGACTAAATCTGGAGTGACTCGACCAGGTCATTCTCTTTAGTCCTGCAGTCAGTCCTATTGAACTGTCTTATGGTGAGCAGGCAGGCGATATGGATTGCTAGCAGTCCTATTGCATCATCTTCTGCCGGGCAGCCATGAGATGTGGATGGCATGCAGTCCTTCTGCACCGTCTGCTGCCAGCCAAAGATGTAAAAGATAGATGGAGTGGATCAAAATAAGAAATAGACCAGATTTGTTTTGTACTCATTTGCTTCCTCCCCTCCCCTGTCTAGGGGACTCATTCCTCTAGGTCACACTGCAGTCACTCACAGAGAAGGTGCAGCGAGGTAAATCTAGCCATGTATCAATCAGAGGCCAGACTAACCTCATTGTTCCAATAAGAACAATAACTCAGGTGCACCATTTCTTATTGGAACCCTCCGTGAAGTCCTGCCTGAAATACTCCTTGATGTAAAGCCACCCCCTTTGTTGATTTTAGCTCCCTGAAGCCAACCCGGTAAACCATGTCGTCAGTCGCCCCTCCCTCCGTCAGAGCAACGGCAGACAATCGTTCCGCGCCTTTTTTCTGTGCGGACGCCATACCAAGGCAAGCATGGAGGCCGCTCAGCTCACTTTGGCAATTAGGAGCACATTAAACACCACACGCATTATCCAGCAGTATATGCAGCACCAGAACCTGGCAGAGTGATACCGGGTGAGGAGGCGATGTCAGCGCGGTCAAGTGAGTGATCAGGACACAGACACAGATTTCTCTGAAAGCATGGGCCCTGCCAATGCATGCATCATGGTGCTAATGGGGCAGGTTCATGCTGTGGAACGCCAATTTTGGGCTCGAGAAACAAGCACAGACTGGTGGGACCACATAGTGTTGCAGGTCTGGAATGATTCCCAGTGGCTGCGAAACTTTCGCATGCATAGGGGCACTTTCATGGAACTTTGTGACTTGCTTTCCCCTGCCCTGAAGCGCATGAATACCAAGATGAGAGCAGCCCTCACAGTTGAGAAGCGAGTGGCGATAGCCCTGTGGAAGCTTGCAATGCCAGACAGCTACCGGTCAGTTGGGAATCAATTTGGAGAGGGCAAGTCTACTGTTGGGGCTGCTGTGATGCAAGTAGCCCACGCAATCAAAGATCTGCTGATATCAAGCGTAGTGACCCTGGGAAATGTGCAGGTCATAGTGGATGGCTTTGCTGCAATGGGATTCCCTAACTGTGGTGGGGCCATAGACAGAACCCATATCCCTATCTTGGCACCAGAGCACGAAGCCGGCGAGTACATAAACCGCAAGGGGTACTTTTCAATAGTGCTGCAAGCTCTGGTGGATCACAACGGACGTTTCACGAACATCAACGTGGGATGGCCGGGAAAGGTACATGACGCTTGCATCTTCAGGAACTCTGGTCTGTTTCAAAAGCTGCAGGAAGGGACTTTATTCCCAGACCAGAAAATAACTGTTGGGGATGTTGAAATGCCTATATGTATCCTTGGGGACCCAGCCTACCCCTTAATGCCATGGCTCATGAAGCCGTACACAGGCAGC